AGAATTGATGCCTTTGAGCTGTGGTGCTGGAGAAGAGTTTGAGGGTACCATGGACTTCTAGGAAAACAAACAGATTCGTCCTGGAAAGGGTCAAACAGGGCAGCTCCGTGGAGGCAAGGATTCTGAGGCTCTGTCTAACATACTTTGGACATGTTGGAAGGAAGGACCGGTCCTTGGAGTGGGACATCATGCTTGGGAGGGTGGAGGGACAGCGCAGGAGGGGAAGGCCCTCTATGAGGTGGATTGAGTCAGTGACTGGGGTAATCGGGATGGGAGTGTCAGAGACAGTGTGATTGGCACAGGATAGAGTGGAGTTTAGGGCTGTTGTACATAGGGTCACTATGAGTCACAAGAGAGTCAGCGACACATAACAACAACAACAATTCGTTTGTGATTATCCTTTGTCTACCTTCCTGATGATTCTCAATAAAAATCCAGAAAGGCACAGGGGCTGAGGTTCTCCCAGCTGTTGGCTCCCTGCTTTCTGGTTTGACCCCCATTCCTGTGTGTCCCTGTCTCTGTCTTTTCCGTCAGTTGACAGCAAATCAGAGTGTCATATTACCTTAATCTTTTGGTTAGTGGCAGAATGCTACACCACTGAGCCACTGATACACCTCTTGACCATTCCAGGCCTCCAAAAGTGCTTTGAAAGGGTACACAGATCCCGGGACTTACAGACTGTGCGAGATGACCCACTTTGGTAAAGCTCCAGGTAGGCTCACTACACCTCTCCAACACTGTAAAAAACCACTGCCATCACTTTATAATCTGCCTGGGCTCCTGCGTCACTAAGAGCCTGCCTAGGGATGACTGTCTTCAGGCTGTCTCTATGGGTGTGGGCAGCAAGACAGGGTCCAGTGGCAGGTCCCATAGCTGCCTTCAAAAGCCACTCTTTAAAACATGTGCTTCTTAAATGTCGCATGAGCCTCTAATTTCTCAGGCACGAGTCCCTCCTTGCCCAGCTTTCTGCTGAGACGGCCACCACCATCCACTCTGACTACACTACACCCCACCACGCTCGGTCTCTGATGGGCAGGGAAGGCCTGGACTGAACTCTCTGGACAATGTAGTGGTTTCAAGTCATGACTTAGAAGACAAAGCTCTTTCAGGGGCCATTAATTTGGTTCCACGGAGAACCAATCTCGATGAATTTCTTTTAAACCAAATTTTAAAAAAAGACAAAACAGAATACTTTCCAAATGTCTTTCTTAATAACTTTTATGATTTAAAATTGTGTCACATGCCTGGCTTGACAATCATAACTAAGACTGGAGAAATCACTAAAGACATCAAAATTGCAAAGAATTGGCCCAAGAATGACTAGTTTTCAACTATTTTTGGACCAACAGCACAGCTAACTGCAGACTACATCACCAGAGCTGCCCTAGTCTTCAACTTTTTGAAAGAATATAAACTAGGATTAAAATATGTCAAGGTTGGCTTCATTTTTCCATTCATTTTGTCTTTTAACTTTTTACTACGATTTGAATGATCGTTGACAGAGCAGATGGTATCCCATTAGACCATCTGCACACATTTTGTTTTAAGAGGTGGAGTTCAATCCCCACATTGTCCCAGCACTCTTCTCCCTCCCTACCGGTGGTTCTCATTTTCATTCACCCTTCCATCTCTTTCTGTCTGTTTTTTGAGCTTTATCCCTGGACAAAAGCTGCCCCTGTGATCGCATGTGGCTGACAGATATTCTAAGAAGTGAGTGTTGCCCCTGTGTTGCTTTTGATCCTATAGATGTGTTTATTTTTTGGTTGCAAACTATATCACAATAAAAGCTCAATTTAATACTCTTGACACAATTTGCTCCCATGAAATGATAATATTAGAAACGCTGATAATAGCAAACATTTCCCTCTTCCATCCTAGTTCCCATTCTTAGTTTACTATTTCAATGCAGACACTCACCGGTAAGATTCATATTCCTCCAGTTTGGAGAAATTCTGGTTGATAAAAGTTTCTGACTCATTGATGCAAAACATCAGACTTGATAATGTGCTCTGGACAGGAAGCTGACCCGACACGCTTGAGATCGTAGAGCCTATGGAATCAAAGGTCCTTTTGCTGCCTGGAAATGAAGAGAGGATGGGCACGGATATTCAAACTGGAGGAAATCGGGATTGGGTACCACACCGCACGGCGGGAACCCTTCTGCTTTTGCCCACGTCACGCATGTTCTTCAAACACCATGAGGTTCCACAGGAAGCATGAATGGAGCCCAAGCCATCGAGATGCACTGATTGACAACACAGCAAGCTGTGAACACTGACTTCATGATGCGGGGCAAGGCAAGCCAGAGTTTTCTCTTTGTTCTTCCATCGTGGAAAAACCAGGTCAGGGTGATTAAGAGTGCAATGGGTCTGCTACATGCCAAGGACTTTTCTCGATGCTGACTCGAGCTGATTTCCTTCTGTCTGTGCTATTAGCTGTAACTCTTAAGCTCACCAGTGGTTTAAACATTTGTCCACAAGCTTGTTTTGCAGCAAGTGCGAGTCCCTAACTTGTGAGACATTTGAATGAGAGCAGCGTGCACTATGCCTACCCACTTTCTTGTGGCTTTCTTCCCTGCACATCTCATCATCAGGAATAAATACTACACAGCCTTGCGGCATGGGACCTCATGAGGTATTTACCACTCCCAGTGTTCATTCACAGATTCTTATGTTTCTGCCCTCCAAAGGGAAATAGATTAGCTTTGCAAATGTATTGATAATAAAATGCCATGATAATAAAAATCTCTAAAAAAAAAAGGTATTGACTTTATGTGAGAACCAGTTTATGACTGTCTTGGAAATCCTGTTGCAAGCAGGAACCACCCTTATTGGAAATGAGATTGAACATGGGTTTGTCTGAATATAAAGTCTCTTGTTTGAGGATTCCAGAAAAAGAGTCTTAATATAAAGTGAAAGATGCTTCCCTTTGAAAAATGGCAGTTAAGAAGAGAGTAATTTGGCAGGACCCTTTTTTAAACAAGTAATTTAAGGTGACGTATTTCATTAAACATTTGGACTTCTGCAAACTGAAACAGAGAGAAGCACATCTATGCGTCTTACATGTGAAAACAAAAGAGGATGGCTAGAGGGCAAGGAAGAGCTCAGACTCACGTGACAACAAAGAGGACAGCTGGGAGTGAAAGAACAGCTCAGACTCAACTCATTGCTGGTGTGTTGGAACCAGCTCCCAGCTGACCCTCCAGTGGGTTTTCAGAGGCTGTAAATCACATGGGAAGGCTCTGTCTGTCTTTCAGGGAGCAGCTGGTGGATTCAAACCTCCTTTCTTTAGTTTGCCAGTGCAACTCCTTCCCCACAAGGCTACCTGAGCCTCCTCGTGGTCGAAGAGATTCTGCTAACACAATCCTAATAATGTCTTAGAAGAAAAGTTCACTATTTACAGAAAGTTCTGGAAAGTACCTGTTCACCATGGCAGGTCCTGAAGACCAAGTTACCTGAGACACTGAGTTTTCACTTGGTCTAATTCTCACTCTTCAGAAGTTGGCTTTATGGACAGTGATTCCAGGTACAGATACACTAAGAACACACTCATCAGCTTAGAGACATTGGGAGGGACCTTTAAATGTCTTTGTAAGGACAGGGACAAGAAAGAGCAGCAGTCCTCAAAACGCGATTCTGGAACTCCTAGTGAACTTTACATATATGATAGCTTGATCCAAAATATAATTGCATTAAACAGCCTTTTCATTTAAGGCACCTAGAGAACTTTAAGGACTCAGTATCTTTCCTCACACCTATAATTTCATTTTAAGTTCCCAGTGAAGGGTTGGTTTGCTTCTCAAGGATAACGGTAGCGTCCTGGCAGTGTTTCATCCTATGAAATGCAGAATCACTCTGAGCTGGTGCCAATGTGACAGCACCTAATAATGTTGCTGTTATGTGCCATCGAGTTGCCTGCAACACTATGTACAAAAGCTCTGAAGCTTGCCCTGTCCTGAGCCAGTCTCACTGACTCTGATACACCTACCCCCATTACCCTAGTCACTGAATCAATCCATCTCATCCGGGGTCTTCCTCTCCTGGTCCCTCCTGGCCACGTGCCCAAAGTATGTGAGAAAGAGCTTCAAAATTGTAGCTTCCAAGGAGAAACTTGGTTTCACCCTCTCCAAGACAGACCTATTTGTTTTCATGGATGTCCATGGTATGTTCAAGACTCTTCTCCAGGACCACAATACAAAGGCATTGATTCTTCCTCTGTCTTCCTTAGTCATTGTCCAGCTCTCTGATACATAGCAAGTAATTCACCTAATAATAACAACAACAACAGAAATGATGGAGGCCTTTTCATGTAGAGGCCTGTTTTCCACAAAGACATGAAATCCAGACACCAAGGCACTGGAGGGAGCAGCTGAGAGCTGGGTTCTTAGAGAGACCAGATGTTAGTCCGTGGAGGCATGTAGCCTCCTCGAAGCATCTTGTGACCAAAATACTGAAGGATCCTTGATTAGAGTGATTCAGGGGGCTTCTGGGATTCCGAAAGGGAGGCTGTGTAGACTCCAGTCTCCTGGGAACAGTTCCCTGAACTCACTGGGCCCAGTGGTTCTCTGGTCCCACGCTGAACACCATGGCTGCTGGGTCAGGCTGCCTTCGGTGACACATGTGAATCCTACTACCCTCTCCAGCAAACGCCTCCTTTGAGCCTCATTTAGATGTCACTTCCTCTGGAAGAGTTTCTACTACCTTTTTTCAGCCCCTCATTCATGCCTGGCTGAAGGGAAGGCCTGGCCACACCTTCTTTCTCTTGTATCTCCAGAGCCTGGCAAAGCCTGGCATGTAGTCAGGCTGTGTTAGTGCCATTATGTTTGGCTCCAACTCAGAGCAATTCTGTGTTCAACTCTGTGTCCAATGTCTGACCAACCCTGTGCCAATCATCTTCATCATCTCCATGCTTGAGCCTCCGTGGCAGTCACTGGGTATCAACCCATCTCAGTGGGAAATCTCTTTCCTAACCCTCCACTGTCACTTGTGGTTGCCGTGAGGCTGAACACTGTGACACTGATGTGTCAAATGTATTAATGGCTGGTTACCCAATGCAGACAGAGAGTGGGGTGGAGCTCCACGATTAAAACAAGCGTGGAAGGAGGAGTGGCATCCACTTCCGTAATAGCTTGCCTCTGGAAACCCTATGAACCTGGAGAGAGGATGAACGGCACCCAAGCGCCGAGGACTCTCCTTCATAGGGTCGCTATGAGTCGCCTGCGACTCGACGGCACTTAACAACAACAACAACAACCCTCTACTCTTCCAACCATGATATGCCCTTTTCCAGATTCTTCTCGAAAGCATGCCCAAAGTATACAGGACAAAGTTTCCCTACCCTTGCTTCTAGGAGCACTCTGGCTGTATTTCTTTAAGATTGAATTGTTCATTCTATTTTATAGTCCATTTTATAGTCAATATTCCTTGTCAACACACAGTTCAAACGCATCTATTATTCTAGGCTTTTGATTCATCGTCCAACTTTTATATAGGGAGCAAGTGAAAAAGTACTATGGTATGAGTCAGGTGCTCCTTAGTCTTCAAAGTGACATCTTTGCTCTTCAATACTTTCAAGAAGTCCTTGGTACACAGCAGGCACTCAAAAAAATAAACATGAGGAGTGATTAAATTATCAAAATGCCAGGGGAATAAAGAGTTATCGATTGTTCTGGAAGGATGTGAGAATAACCTTGGGTATGCAGGCCAATGGGAAGCACCATGTGGACTGGGAAAACTCTGGCTTGTGTGTGAGCAACATTCCCATGGGCACAGGCCGTGTCACGCATGCTGGGTGCTCTGCGGCGCCTGACTTACATACAAGGAAGGGCTGCACACATTGGCAGGAGAGATCCAGAGAGGGCGGACAGAACCGAACATTGGAGATTGGTTAGCACACATAGATCGGGCATGCAGCATGCTCTCATTAGCCTGGAGATAGATGCTGGTCTACACAAGCCTGAACACTGCCCGCCTTGGTAGTGTAAAGAATAACTTCCATTAAACAACAGTAACATCCGTCCCACAGCAGTCTGCCAATCATGCTGCAGGAGACTGCCCGTCTTTTTCTCTAGGATCGGCTGTTAGGGTTAAACCGCCAGGGAGAAGCCACCTTGGGGTTAAAGCGAAACTCCTACAGGCTACTCCAGCAGAGCGCCAAGGAAGTCAGTAAAATATCTACAGGACTGTGTCATAGGACACAACACTTTTCATTAATAATCACTAGGTTGTACAATTTCATGGGGGTGAGTGGTGAGGAAAATTGAAAGAATATGTTCAGATTTGTATCTAACTTTTATAAATAAACCAGTAGAAAAATTTTTAAAAAAATTAAAAAAGGGGGGAAAAAAGACTTAGTGAGGGCAAAGAATACTGTTAGGGATAGGAAAATACCCTAACCAAATGCTTCTAATACAATATTTAAATATCTATCTATCATCTATCTATCTATCTATCTATATTTATCTATATCTTTCTCTCTCTCCCCCTCCCTCCTTTTGTCTCTCTCTCTTTTCCTCCCTCCAGCCCTCCCTTCCTCCCTCCCTACCTCTCTCTCCTTCCCCATCTATCATTACCATCTCCAGGAAGGAAACAGTCCACCTTCCTCCCACGGGGCTTCTAATGCATTCAATCCCCCAAGACACATCATCTCTGTGTTAGCAGTGCAACTGCCTTCAGACCACACTAACAAAAATACAAAACTAAGAAGGTGAAAAGAAGCACTGGGAAAACGATTGAAAACATAGAAGGCTTTTACATGACTTCAAGGCTTTCCTCTCCTAGCAGACAGTCCATCTATCTCCAGCCCTGCACAGAGAAGAACTGGCCCTGTGCTCTAACGCCGGGGAACGGGCTCAGCATTGATTCTGTTCCCGTAGAGCTATAAGCTCTCTTACAAGCCTCAGCATGACAGGAAAGACAAAACATGTCCCAAGGAGGCAAAATAAATCCTTGCATGGCATTCCTAAAATAGAACCGGGGGGGGGGCGGGGGAGGATGTTTCGTTCTTTGGAATGGACCATGGAATAATGGGCATCTTCTCCTAATAAAAGGAATCTGAAAGCTGTGTCACCACACACCCGAAGGTTTCTCATCACAGAGGGCACTGGCCACACCAACTTGGCCCAGAGCATGACAAAGTATTACAACAGGGGGATTGGGTTTATCTGCAACATGGACTGAAGGTGACAGCATTTAAAAGCTCTGATAATCTTTTAAACTTGGGAGTTTGGATGAGAGAATATTTCTTAAGACAAACAGTATTTCAAAAGATAACAACAGTCTCTTCTCTACAATTCTCAACAGACACAAAATGATCGCAAATATGACAAAAAGAGTTTTGGAATTGGTTCTCACCTGAAACGATCCCACTGGTTTGGTTTTGCACCATCTCTGGTACTTCATTAAAGGACTTATAGCCCTAGAAAAGATTTTAAAATAAAACTATGTACATAGTAAGTAAATGTGGGCTTACACACAACAGAGCTTGTGAGGATTACACAGGACTGGGCAGGGTCAACCTGTTACTCAAAGGGCCTTACAAGCCTTTGACAGCACCTAACAATAATAGTGGAGCTTTTTTGGCATTAGGTGTAGTCAACTTGGTCCAACTCATGATAACCTCTGATCCAACAGGATGCAGCTATTCCAATCCACAGGGTTTTCACCTAATTTTTGGAACGAAATCAACAGACCTGTCTTCGTAGTTTATTTGTGAAGCCTGAGAGTTTCCAGGAGGCTAAACAGTGACAATTCTAGATTAAGAAAGACCAGGAAGAAAGGCCTGGCTAGGCATCTATGAAACCCTAGAGATAACTGTGGTCTGCTGATCCTCAGTCTATCATGAGTGTGGTACAGGATCAGATGGTGCTTCCTGCATGAGGATGCCAAGAATCAGGGACTGACAAAGACAGCATCTAACAACAAAGAAGAAACCTGACAAAGGGGTCAGGAAGGGGAGGGGAGAGAGGAGCAGGCAGATGTGTGTGTGCGAATTGGGGGGGCAGAAAGAAAACAAGCATGGGTGACTAGACAGGGTTGGGAGGGGAGAAAAGTGCAACAATGAATAAATGGAAATCCAAAGTCTCTGTAAATTTTTACTGAAATTAATAATACATTAAAAAAAACCACAAAAAATTAGAAAAAAGAAGTAAATACGAATAAAATAATAATAAAGCAAAATTTAAAAAAAATAGAAGGATTACTAGTGAGATGTGTACAATAGTCCATATGGGGAGAAGGTGGTGGAGGGGGACTGATGTGGGAGAGGATCTCGTGGTCATAGTTTGGTGGGCAGAGAAAAAGGGTGAAGAAATTGGGAAAGATCCAGTGGGGATCTGAAAAGGCTGGGTAACAGTGGGCATGGATCAATGGTGATTCATTTTAAAAAATACAATGTATGGGAATGATCATTGTGAATGGAGGAATGCATGAAACAATGTATACAAACAAAACACAAAGGATACAAATTTCATATGCAAACCAATATAAAGGAAAAACAATTTTAAAAATATGTGTCGTAAATCTTAATTAACACTTCTGTGGATGGACATAATCCCCTTTGGGTATATGACCTTCTTTGTTATGTGACTAAGACTCTCTCAATGTTTTAGTTTGCTTAAAGGCAATCACTCTTGAGACATCACAAAAAGCAGATTAGATACAAGGAGAGAAGTACAAAATGAGGTTTCATTCCACGTGGAAATCTCCAAAGAATAGAAGCTGAAAAGAGACAAGGACCTTCCCAAAGAGCTGACAGAGAAAAAGCCTTCCACGGTGGCTGGTGGCCTAATTCTGATTCCTGACCTCCTAAACTGTTAGAAAAGCAAGTTCTGTTCCTCAAAGCCCCACCCCCAACCCCCGTGGCATTTCTGTTACAGGGCACTGGACTGCTGAGCCAGAATCACTACTGTCTATGGAAAGACCTCCTAGAAGGTGGGCTCTAGCAAGGGGAGGTTCTCCTTTCATGGTCTTTGCATGGTGCTTTGGACAAAACAGAAGCTGGGCAAAAACTGCCGGGGTTGGAGTTCTCAGAAGGACCCACTAAATGACCGTGCTCACCCCTTTCTGTGACCTTTCTTCAGAATGTCCTTCCTTTTTGATTTCGGTTTCTTATTTTCTATGCACATGTCCACTGCATTTCCCCCTGCTTGTCCCCCACCGTCTCCCCACGACAGCATACCTGTTCGACCAGGCCAGTCACGTTTGTTTTCAAGATGTCTTTAACACTGTCAAGTTGATTGCTCAAGGATGGGAGCTGAAAAGTTAGAAAACAAAGTATAAGACAACGTGGACACAACTGGCAGCTTCAGGATAGATGATGAAGAGACTGAGGTTGTTGATATCTTCAGCTTGCTTGGCTCCCACAATCAACACTCTTGGCACCAGCAGTCAGAAAATCAAAAGAACTAAAATGCATTGGGAAAGTCTGTTCTCAGGGACCTCTCCAGAGTACTAAAAAGCAACAATGTCAGTCTGGAGACTAAGGTGTGCCTGATCCAGGCCATTGTCTTTACAATTATTTGCTATGTATCAGAGAGCTGGACAATAACTAAGGATGATAGAAGAAATGATCAATGGCTTTGCATTGTGGTACTGGAGGAAAGTGTTGAACATACTGTAGACTACCAGGGGAACAAACAGGTCTGCTCGGCAGAGAAGCCCAGCTGCTCCCTGGAGCTAGGATTTTAATATTTTTTTATATGCATTATATTTTAATTTTTTAAAATAATTTTAATGAGCATTTACAGAAATTTTGGATTTCCATTCATTCATTGCTGCACTTCTCTCCCCGCCTAGCCCTCCCCCCCCCCCCCCCCCGTTTGCTCCTCTCTTTGAAAAGTAAAAGAAAAACTCTCCCCCGGTACACAATCTCCCCTGCACCCCTCCCACCACCCCAAGTACATTCCACTATGCACCCTTAATTCTGGACTCTTGTGATAACTGTAATACCCTATCATACATCGCTTTT